GCAGTAACCATGTGTGGGATGAAGGAGTAAATTAAAATAGTGGCAGTGGAGATTAAGATAAATAGACTGATCTGAGGTAGATTTAGGAGACATAATTGGCAGAACCTGGCCACTTTTCAGATAAAAAGAGCAAGGGAGAGGAATACATCAAAAATAGCTCTTGGGTGACTAGAAGACTGGTGGCCCGGTAACTGACATAGAACCAACTCAGAGGAAGGAGCAGGTGTGAGGGCCTGACGGTGCAGCTTGGGACTGATTGATTTGAAGGGTGTGTGAAACACACTGATGAAGACACCCACTAGTCATTTATATTAGAAGGATCTGCACCTCTGGAGGGAGGCCCAGGCTGAGAATATGGATTTGGGAGTCATGAAGCCTGCAGATGTAATCTGAAGTGATGGGAATGGAGGCGGTCACCCCGGAAATTATGAAGCTTGAGAACTGAGAACAGCAAAAAGACCTGAAGAGGATCCAGGCTGAGGTGCAGAACTAGCTGAGGAGTCGGACCAGAACCAGGAAGGAGTTTTGAGAAGAGATCTTCCACAGTCCACCAGAGGTCAGACAAGGTGGGACTGAAAGCCAGCCACTGAATCTGGCAACAGCAGGTTATTGGTGTGGAGTTTTGGAACAGGGGAGAACAGAATCAGTGCTTTTGGTTTAACTGAGAGACCCTGACCTCTGGAGTTCACACAAATCTGAGTTCAACTTCCATTTCCACCCCTTTTTAACTGTGAGATCATTAAAACATGAGCATATCTTTTTAAACCTTCAGTCTGTCATCTGAAAACTGTGGATAGTAATAACTATCTCCTCAGGATCTTAAGAGGATTAAAACAAATAATGTATATAATACATATAATGATATGTGAGTAGCTTTTAATAAACACTCAAAAATGTTAGTTTCTTCTCCTTGCCATCTTTCCTCTCTTTCCTAGGAAAGACACAGAATATTCTCCCTTCAATTTTCGTAGTCAAGAAGCACTTAGATATAGAATTTATCCCAGCAACTGTCTCTTGAAATTGGCACATTTCTCTCCTTTTCCCACTGTTTTCTTCTTTTTAAAATTGTACTTAGTTCGTTTTGATTTTCATTTTATTTTGAAGAATAGTTAAGATAACAATAAATAAGTGGCTGGAAGTACTTGATTAAACATGACTGCCACCTTTTATCTCCCCCCACCTCTCAAAACCTCACCACCATAATGCTACAGAAAGAAATACCTAAAAGGTATTAAGTCCAGAGAAGGAGGTAACAGCAGATGAAAGTTCAACAAATATTAGAAGGTAGAAGGAAAGCGAAGGAATGTTACCTGGCTTGAAACATCCTGAGAAATTAGGACTAAGCGCCAACAAGGGTGATTACCAACAAGAAGCCAGTCGGCTCACCCACTTTACCCTCCACGAGACTGAATGCCTCGGAAGCTCAGTTAGCAAAGGTCAGAAGCGAGGTATGGGGTAAACATGGGAAGGCCTGAAGTCCGCATGCTTTACCCCCACCCCCGAGCTCTTCTCAAAAGCCAGACCACACCTCAAGAACTTTTGCTGCACAGGGAGGAAGGGAACTGACCTGAACGCTGCAGGCCTCCATACCAGGAGCCTCGTGCACAGTCTCAGCGGCAGGGACAAGATGCAGGGTGGAAAACCGAGTGAGGAGAGAAGGGCTGCACGCTGCCCTTTGGCTACCCAGCCCCTCCCCCTCCTCCACTCCCAGCGTGCCGGCGGCCAGGCACTTAGCATCCCCACCCTCTCACCTTCCCTTGGAAAGTAGAAAAGTTTCTCCAAGGGCCCTGAGAACCCCAGGAGGGGGAAAAAATCATTTACTGGCATTTATGGGTTCCTAAAAAGATTAGTCGTTGCCTGATAAAGAAATTTCCAAGAATTGAAGGACATGGTGCCTGACTAGAAGAGCCCACCAAGGGCCTAGTGTAGTAATGAAAAAGATCCGCACCAAGGCGTGACATCATACAATTTAAGAAAAGGATTTAAAAGCATCAGGAGTAACAAAAATAGCCACAAAGGCACAGAATCAGAATGTCAGACTTCTCAACAGCAATAATGGGGAGGCTCAAGCCAAGGAAGTTTATTTCTAACATGGAATTATATACCCAACCAATCTAACATGAGATCAAAATACTTTCAGACTTTGAAGGACACACACATACACAAATAATTTGCATATCTTAGGAAGCTTCTGGAGTCTGTGCTTCAACAAAATGAGAGTAAACCAAGAAGAAAGAAAAGGTAGATCCAGGAACTAGGGCACTGGACAGAGTAGACTGGCAAAAGGAAATCCCAGGACAACATTTGTGCACCAGGCTCAGCGAGCAACCAGTCCAAACTGGAATAGAAAGAAGTCAGTGGGACAGAGGTCTCCAGGAAAGAGATGGAACTGATCAGGAAGGGGCTGAACATTTGGAAAAATCATTGCTACATGTTTGAACATTTGGAAGAAAGTAGCTCTAGGTACTTAGAAAACTACATGATGGATAAAAAGAAACAATTCCAGGGAAAAGCAACTTAGAAAATGTAACAGTAGTTTACAGCTTGAGTGAACAGATTTTATTTACTTGGTCAACAGTATAAACACTAACTACTGATTTAAGTGTAAATTGTGGAAAACTCTTTGTGAGGTTTAAGAGAAAAAAATGGGGGTTAGAGTGCTAAAAGACAGCTAATTTCTCAACTGTCAGAATAAGAAATAAATACTGCCTGATGTGGATAAATCAAGTAATGTCATGTATGAGTCTGCACAGGCTGCCGTGACAAAGCACTGCAGACTGGGTGGTTTACACCACAGAAACGTGTCATCTCACAGTTTGGAGGCTCCCATCAAGGTGTCTGAGAGGAAGGTGTGGCAGGGTTTCTTCTGAGGCCTCTCTCCTTGGCTTGGTCCCTGCAGAGTGTACCCTCTATGTGTCTGTGTCCTGGTCGCCTCTCATAAGGCCCACCTTAATGACTTCATTTTATCTTAGTTACCTCCTTAAAGACCCTGTCTCCAAATAGAGTCACATTCTGAGGTACTAGGGGATAGGGCTTCAACATATGAATTTCAGGGGTGCAGTGATGGGGACACAATTCAACCCATAGCAAGTAGTATAAACTCACTTGAGGATCTGGAGGTAAATACCTGAAGAAATAGCTAAAAAGGTTGAAAGTGGTTGTCTTTGAAGTGAGATGCGAGATGGTGAGGGCTAAGGCAGGCGCCACTATGTGACTGTTCACTGAACAGCACGCGGGGACCTGGGCCTGGGCGCTTCCGGCTGCAGCCCTCCTGTTCTCCAGCTCTACCACAGCTCGAGTTCCCCAAGGGCCCGCAGTGCCGTGTCTGTCTCCACGTCTCCCTCAGCACCTTGCGTGGTGCCCCATGAGGGCTGGTCACTGCGTATTTACTGAGTCACTGCTGAATCACTATAACCTTTAAAGCTGACATTTGTGGGTTTTCTTCTCCTGTTAAAGAAAAAAAGAAGATAGGGGAAGGCTGAGATTCAAGAAAATCTCCAGGCCCATAATACGGAGCATCCATCTCAAAGCTTCCCACCTGGGGGTCCTAGAGTTGCTGGGTACATCTCTGCTGTAGCACCTGACCCTAGAAAATGTCCATCCATAGCAGGCCAGGGGAACAGGGTGCTTTCCTGCCTCATGAAACTCGTAGTTGTATTTCAGCCTCACCTCCCTGGAGTCTAGAACAGCCACTCATCCCCATTTTCTTGAGGTCTGTTGAAGGTGGCTATGTCCTCAGAAAGTTAAGTCTACAGACTTAGAGGTGTAATGTCATCCACAGTGACGGATGCCTGATCCAATGAAAGGTTTTGGTCATTTCTGTGTAGGATAGGCCACAGTTACTCACCTGGCTGTTAAGGCTGACAGGATTTTGTGGCTGTCTCCATCCCTGAGGCTATGTGGGATGCCCTTCCTGGGAGCACATATCCAGTGTCCTCTGGGGACCAGTGGAGGTTGGTGTGTATGTATGTCTGTCTCAGCATGCATCAGATTATTACTTCCTAATAAAATTCTGATAGCTAGGCCCCATCAATATCTCAAATACATGTGAGGAAACGTTAATTTAGAATCAATTTTAGGATGTTTCAGACTGTAAAGTCCTTTTAACTAGATCTCTGGCGAAGATGTAGAAGCACTTTATGGGACTGTAAATTTCATGTTGAACAGTCTGAGTGAAATACACATCTCCCCTACATACAAGCTCCTCTCTCCATATCAATCATGGCCCCTGCACGTAATGTTTCACAAATATTCTGTAAATCACGGAAAACCCCATGATAATGTGAAATATGACTTTCACTTGTCTGTTAGACAAAAGAATCACACATGCCTCTTTCCCATCAGCACTAACATTTGTTATGGATAATAACACTTTCAATCACAACTATTTTTGGAAAACGGGTTTATTTTAAACCTTCCCTCCCCCACTGAAAACACTCTCCCAAGGACACAGACTCCTACAAACCACAGCCCATTAATCCAACTACAGAATGGGAACTTTTTCTTCCCACTAACTTTTTTTAAAAGTTCCTTTTAAGAGAGTTAGTATAAAAGCTCAAGGTACAAGGTTAAGGAGAATTTTCCCTTGGCTGACTGGCATAAGAGGGAGCCAGGTCTCTGAAGACCCCAGATCTCTGAGCCGGTATGAAGTGAGGGGTGAGCGAGGCCTGGGTCTTCAGCAAGCAGCGGGAGCCTGTAGTCCTTTTAGTTGCCTGCATCAGCGGAGAAGCCAAAGGGCTAACATTTTAGCTGTTAAATAGGAAGCAGATGTTTACTACCTTGATAGCTTTAATTCCATTACAGCACAGCTAGATCCTCCCTGTTTAAGTAGCAGGTGACCAGTCCTAGAGATGCATTTTGAGTGTCACTACATCCAAGTGGGTGACACAGGCTCACCCCACTTCCAGGTGATTCTAGAAAAGCAAAACCCATAGAGTAACTTAAGGACTTGCATGGTTCTAAATATTGTGGTAACCTGTCTATTTCCCCTCCCTCTATAGCCAACTTCAGGACTGATTCATCATGACTTCTGTGAAGGAGCAGGCGGCAATTAGCCGGCTGTTGAGTTTTTTACAGGAGTGGGACAATGCTGGCAAAGTCACAAGGAGTCACATCCTCGACAGTTTCATTGAAACCAACCAGGGCAGAACTGCCCCTGAACTGGAGCAGGAGTTTTCCCAGGGAGCCAGCTTATTCCTGGTGCGCTTGACCACCTGGCTGAGACTCACGTATCCTTTGCTAAACAGAAAAAAAAAAAAAACGAGGCAGTCTTCCAAAGAGCAAAGGAATGAAGATGGAGAGAGCTCTTCTCTTGGTTCTAAGATATTAGAACAGGACCTCTGGTGATCAAAAGACCAACATCAAAGTCAAGAGCTCCCTCACTCCAGTCTTCCCAACCTATAAATAGATCCTCATTCTTACTCCTAGTCTCTTTTGCTCCCATCAGTTAAAGTGGGTATTCCTTCCATCCAGGGCTAATCTCTCTGTGCTGCGCTTGAATCCCCTCTGATCTCCTCAGGGACTTTATTCTTTCTCCCCTATAGCCTTTGCTTTGGCCTCATTACCTGCTTTTTCATCAGCATTTACATATGCTCAAATCACTTCCATCTTTGAAAATGAAATCCCTTTCTCAATCCTGCATCTCACCCAGCTCCTGCCTTTCGCAGTGAAACTTCTTAGAAGGGTCACCGACCTTCCCTGCCTCCATTGCCTCACCTCCTTTTGCCACCCCCGCACTGCAGTCTGACTACTGTGCGCTCCACTCCACTGATGCAGGTCTGGCCAAGGTTACTGGGGATTTTCTAGTTGCAAAACCACATGACTACATCCTTAGTCCTGCTAAGTGACCTCTCAGTGGCATTTGTTACTCAACCATTCCCACTTCTCAAAACACTCTTCCCTGAAACTATATAATGTCATATGTCAATTATGCCTCAAGAAAAAAAAGAAAAAAAATGAAGCATATATAGACCATATCTCACACACACACACACACCTCCTCCTGTGGTTACTATGATACCAGTTCTCTTGGTTATCTCCTTGCTTTCTGTCCATTCCTTCTCTTCTTCAGCCATCCCTTAAATGTCAGTTGTTCCCTGGGGCTCCATCCACATCCCTGTTCTCTGCTCACTCTCAGATCTCCCTGCGTGACCTAATCTATTGTCAATACCACTCCAGTTCAGGGACTCCCAAGTGTGTACCCCTGCCCAAATGTCTCTCTGGAGTCAGGGTTCCATACCTATTAATCCAACTACCAACTCCACCCATATCCCACTGAATGACTATCGTTCCTGGCTTGGGAACCTAGCTGACTGGGATGCCATTATGTGGGAAGAAAATACAAGAAAAGAAGTGAGGTTAGGGGTATGCAGGTTTAGTTTGGGACATGTTGTGTTTGAGGTGCCTGTGCTCAGGAGCCCCAGAGGCTGACTGGGGCTGGAGACACAGGGGGTCACCTTTGGGGTGACAGTTTACATTATGGAATATGAAATATTATTGGGTGACTTGGTGCTCCCTTAAATCTCACACCCGAAGCAAGTACCTCACTTGCCACACTCCAGCCCCAGTCCCTGACCACTGCCCCTTCAAAGGCCCTCCACTCCTCCACCTTCTCCCACTGCTGCTTCTCAGTCACTATTGTGGATTCTTTCCCACCCACCCCTTAAATGTTAGTGGTTCCAAGAATTATTCTGTGTTCTGCCCACTGCTTGCTTACTCAACAATGCCCTTATTCCCCGAGGCCTGGTATCACTCTTCTCTGTATCCTAATGCCAGTCAGAGTGGCTGACATTGCATGGGCACTCAGCAAGCTGAGTGAATGCCTGAATGAACTATGCTTTTTATACACAGCTGTATATTTATTTTCTACACCTGTAATAATTCATAATTTCCTAACTTGTGACCTTGTCAGACAACAGAGAAAAGACCAGCTGAGGTGGCATGATGTTTTAAGTCAGTGACCCTACTTCTCCTCCCCACCTCTCCAGTTAGAGTGGATTTTTAAGGAAAACAAATCAATATAGTATCATTATGTGTGGCAAAACTGACTTCTACCTAATCCCACATAAACCCCAAACCCCCTGTTTAACCTTGAACTTACTAATAAATCAGTAAAACTAAGGATTTATACATTATATGACAAAATTATTAGTTACTGTTTATAGAGTCTTTTTATGCTCTAGACACTGAGCTATGTGATATACAAATATCTCATTTGAGCCTAATATCAAGCCTAATAGGAGGTTGGCATTATCCCATTTTAAAGATAAAGATGAGCCTGAAAACATTGCATAATTTACTAATGTCATAGATAAGGTTTGAAATGGGTCTGGTTGGCCCAAAGCCCATTATACTGTCCACTCTACTTCAATGCCTTCTACCCCATGGACAGTGCAGACCCACAGTTCTACTTCCAACTCTACACAAGGAGATAATCCAAGTGAACAGCCCCACTCCCTCTGTCTACAGGCAGGAAGGCCTTACAGTACAGACTCAGACTCTGAGCTAGGCTGTCTAAGAACTTAGGCTGCCCAGTTCCATCAGTTAACTTTGGGACCTTGGCCAGGTCGTTAACCTGTCTGAGATTGTTTCCTAGTGAGGAGAATGGAAACGCTAATAGCACCCACTGCAGGGTGTGGTGAGGATTAAATGAGACGGTGCAAGCAAAGCAGTTAGCACAGGGCCTGGCACACACTAAAAGCTTAGCACTTGTTAGCTGCTGTGATATTGTGGCAAACTTCTGGAACTAACTGCTGGAAACAATGGACCAGAAATGTGTAGAGAGAGTAGCTATGAAAATAAAAGACCAACCTGGGACAAAGGAAAAAGATGGTGACAGAAGTTGGCTAACCTCACTGGTCCCTGAGGGCAAGAGAAAGAAGGCCCTGAGGCAGGGATGGAGATGGGGCTTTGGAAGAGCAGGGTGGAGGACAGCGTGGGAGTACCACATGGGCTGATAGCCTGGCCCCCAGCTAGTGAGGCAACAGGCAGGGGAGCCTGGCTCCAGAGCAAACACTGCTTTTGCAGTAAAGAGCCTTTCCTAATGAGCCAATCTGTCTCTACTTCTATTGGCATCCTGGGAACCAGGGTGCAGCAGAGATAATTTGCCTCACGCACCCTTCCCCCAACAAAGCACCATTACCTCCAACCCATTACATTAGCCTTTATCAGTCTTGGAAGCTCTCAGTCATCCTCCATGAGCTGCAATAATTTCAGCTAATTTCTTAAGTGTTCTAAGAGCCTGTGATGTGTTATGAGCCTAGTAATTGTTGACTGGTTCCTTTTCTGTTGTGGCTTGATTTCATACCTTGTATCCAAGCTGATGCGTGCTCTGGGTGCTTTATTACAATGAGGCTTTTTGCAAAGCTCACATTAAAAAATAACATTAAATACGGAGGTTGTTTTAAATCAGAGCTTAATTTTTCCACCATCTCCCGTTGTTCTTAATAGAAAGACATGCAATTCTTCATAAAGATAGTGACCTCCAGTGTAAAGCTTTGAGCAGGTATGAAATTGAGAATTAATGATGAAGCTGATTATATTTAGAGAAGTCTAAAAATGAGGCATAAAGTAATGGACTGTGTTGAGACCCAAGGGTGCAATGGTCATGGCTAGAGAGGCTTGGAAATTGACCCCCAGCTTTCTCCATGTACTTTTTATTCAGCAGAGCTTCCTTGCTCTCTAGGGGGCCTGTCAGCCAAGATGGCCGAACTACCCCTGAAAAGCTTACAGGAGAACCGTGAACATGCTTGCCAGCAGCCCACATTCCTCTTACCCTGTATGTGTAGCCACTTCCCCTTCAATCTAGTGTGGCCTCTTCTCCAGTAAAGGATACAACTCAGCTGTTGGTCACCCTGGGCCATAGCCGGTACCAGGGATCAGACCCCAGATCTGGTGTCTGTGTGCAAAGCAACCCTGAAATTCATTCTTTAACTTGTCATACAGCTATATGATTGGCTCATGTTTAAATAAGATACTAAGGTCCATTGGCATCTTCTTGTCAGCTGTAAGCAGGTGAGTTCTAGTCTAGAGAGATTCTGGGGTCTTAGTTTCATATTGGGTTCATGGCATTCTTGCTATTCATACCACATGGGACCACGGCTTCTAGTTATCAGTGGGTACCTAGTAGCCCTCAGGATGTACCCAGAGGTAGTGTCAGATGTGGTCCTGCTCTGGTTTCTCCATCCCTGTGTTCTACTGACACTTTATCAGTCAGCACCCTCTTGGTTGTGAATTATAGAAAACCAATTCATACTAGACCAGGAAAAAGGGGAATTTACTAGTTCACTTCACTGAAAAGCCCAGCAGGAAGGTAGAAATCCATTTTCAGGCCTGGCTATATTCAGGAGCTCAAAAACTGTTATGAGTACCTGGTCTCTCCCTCCATTTTTCTCCATTTCTCAGCTCTGTTCTCTGTAGTCATAGGCCTCCATGTGTTATCTTCCTCAGAAGTGCTAGATACATGCCCTTCTAACTCAGCCAAAAAGAGAGCATACCTTTCCCAGGGGCTCCCAAGAAAGTCCAGGGTGTTGAACCTCATTGGAGCAACTTAGGTCACATACCTGGCTCTAGCCAATTACTGCAGTCAAAAGAATGACATGCCCTGTCACCTGCTCACTCTACCAAAACCACATGGCCCATGAGTGGCAAATGGGTGTTTACCCAAGGGACCATTTAGGTGCTGTTTCTAAAAGAAGAGGAACAAATGCTGGAAAGCCAAACATGAGAAATGTCCGTTGTATTTAACTTTTGCATTTCCTGCTAGAAGGAAGAACTTCCAAATTATTGTGTCACTTTACCCATGGACAAAATATGTGAAGAAAAGACCTTGAGATCCCTTAGAAAGGTTTGTGCCAAAGAGGTTGACAAGTGTCTTATTTCTACTCTTCTACCCTCTGGACAGTAATCGGTACCTTGTAGAATTTCTTGAGGTTGGAGGTGTCCTCACTCTCTTGGAAATCCTTGGGCTGGAGAAGATCAAGGAGGAGGACAAGAAGGAATCCATCAAGCTGCTTCAAGTTATTGCAAACTCTGGCAGGAAGTACAAGGAGCTCATTTGTGAAAGCTATGGTAGGTACTAGGTATGGAAAGGGTATCAACTCCCATGTCTCTCTAGGGACCTTGGTTAACTGGCGGCAGCACCTAGGCTTACTACAGCAAAACGCATCATGGAACTATTTGCAGGCGAAGCACTTTGTAGAGTGGACTCAATTAGCTCCTGTCCAAAGCACCACTAGAAGACCCAGATTTATGGTTTTCATGATTTGTCACTTGCTCAAACCTTTCCATGGTGGTTTTGGAAATACTTCTCCATTTGAAACATATTCTCTCTCATGCATCCATTCAACAAACATTTGTTGAGCCACGGCCTAAAATCCTTTGTGAAACTAAGTGAGTTAGGAATAATTCTTGAAATAAAATTACTGAATATGCATGCTAGGTATTTGCTAAGGTTCTTGGGGTACAAACTGAAAGAGTTTTATCCTCAGAGAGTGTACAGTATGGTGATAAAGGTAAATAATCCACTGATTTCAGTATGTTCTATCCAGTGCTCTAAGTGTGCAAAGGAGATGCCATCTCCCAGGTGCCCCTCCTCAAAGCACGTCCCCCACTCCACTTCCATCATGGTTCTTCTCTATGTCTTGCCATGGCCTCTCTGAGCCTCAGTGTATTTAAGCATGAAATGGGACTAATACCTCCCTCTCAGTATAGTTTCTGGGATTAAATGAAGTGATATTTGTCAAAACATTTAGTAAACTGCTGAGTGCTACACATGTGTTAGTTATGGACCAATCAGAAATGCATGCTTATTTATGCATTTTGCAGAGCCACGTTAAATTTTAAAACAGATTCTGACAAGCTGACAGGCCTCTGTTGAAATGAAATCCTCCAGCCACATAGCTATAAGGTGAGCAGCACAGTGATGCAACGTGAGAACTGAGTGGAACTCGATTCTGCTCTGATTGAATGGGCTTGAATAACTTCTTAATACCACTACCGTGTACTCTTGAGTGAGGACTATTTACATAAATCCCTTCCAATTTAGCATTTCCTCTTTTCTTTGCTCAGGCATACGATCCATAGCAGAATTTTTGGCAAAGTCTAAATCAGAAGAGACCCAGGAAGAAGTACAGGTTCTGCTGGATTCTTTGGTTCACGGTAATCCCAAGTACCAGAATCAAGTGTACAAAGGTCTAATTGCTTTACTGCCCTGTGCATCCCCAAAAGCTCAGCAGCTGTCCCTGCAGACCCTCAGGACTGCTCAGGTAAGCCCAAGCTTCATGCTCCTGTGGTTCTGATTCTAGCACAGTAACCTTACAATTACCTACCACAGTCGCGCTCCATGCAAGCATGAGAAACCGAGCTTGGCCTCCCACTGCAGGTCTGCTCTTCAATCAGTGTTACTTCCAGAAGCCTGAGGCAGGGCAGAGAGTGCACGTCTCCCAGCAGAGTGATTTGTCCTGTTTACTTCAGGATCAGAAAGATGTTGGCCAACTTAAAAGTGGTTGAGACAAGCAACAAGGATGGTGGAAGGACTGTAGTAAAGATCAAAGGAGTCAATATGATAGGGAAAGAATCATGGCACATTTGTAGATGGCATGTAAGTGAAGAGGCAGGATCTTCAGTGCCTGAGGAAGCCCCTTTTCTCTTGTTGGAGTCTGCCTTCTCAGACAGGAGTGGGAGAGAAGTCAGATCTGGGGCATGGTGGCCACATGAAGACACTGTGCCTAGTAAAGAAGGAAGAGAGGAGCTCAAAGAGTGGTTTTGAGATGAATCACCAAAAGCTTTCAAAACAGCCCCAGGATGGATGCAGGAAAAGAGACCATTAAGAGATCAAAGAGACAGTAAGACCTGAACCGGGACAGTGGGAAGAGAGGTGGCCATGTTGGACAGACATTTCTGAGGCAGAGTACATGGGACTTAAGGCAGTAAAGGAAAAGGAGTTACAGATGACATGCAGTTTTGGACTTAGACAGCAGGGTGAGTTGTGTGCCACCGAGACAGCAAGAGAAACTGATTGGATTTGCGAGGAGATGTGTTTTGACCCAATAAACTTGATGAGCTGGCTGGTTCCCCACTGCCCATCTAAGGAGCAGGCCATGCTAGTTGCAGAGATGCAGCTAGGTCATTTGTGTAAAAATTGCTGTATCCTGAGCCTCTCTCGCACAGAATCTGACAGCTTTCAGGTAGCCTCTGGTAATGCTTTTCTTTTTTAAGCTCCCCAAGGAATTCAGATTCTCAGCTCTGTTGAGGAATTATTGCTCAGGACATCGAGTAGAGATGCCCAGTGGACAGTAGAAAACAAAAGCCTGCAGCTCCAGAGAGAGACCTGAAATGAGGACGCACTTTGGATTCCATGAGCAGAGAAGTGTCCCTGACAACAGAAACAAATAAGATCACCCAGGTAGCATGTACCAAGTCAGAAGAAAAGGAGCACTGCCAACCTTTAAGAGATGAGCTGAGGAAGAAGGTCCAGGAAAACAGAGCTGACGATCATTATTATTTCTAGTTTCCATTTGTTAAGTGCCTCCTACATGCCAGGAACTGTTAGGGGCCTTACCCTGTTTCTTTTAGTCTTCACAATAGGTAATGAAGGCAGATGATATTATCCCATTTTAAAGATGATGGAACTAAGCCCTGGGGATGTTCAGTGACTTATTTAAGGCCACACACTAAGTAAGAGGCACTTACTAAGAGGGCGTTTAACTCCAGCTCCAATTCCAAAGTCCTTGTTTTTTCCATATACTGCTCTGCCTCTTTGAAAAGAACAATGGAAGCCATAAAAGGAAAACAGATAAGAAGCAGAGCTGCAAAAATGAAGGGAAAAGTTTCAATATGGAGAACACGATCAGCTGGGTCAAATACCACGGAGAGATTAAGTGTGAGTAGACCAGGATGATGGTACCAGCAGGAAACGTTTTTGGTGAATTAGGCCCCTGCCCTTGGCAGGAAAAATAAGTTGCAGCAGATTGTCTAAAGATGCTCAGAGGATGAAGGAGTGGCTTCCCCTGGGAAGCTTGGGTGTAAAGGGAAAAAAGAACAATAGTGAGAGAAAATAGGTTGAAGGATAATTTTGTTCCATGTGGGTGAGCTTGCGGGTGCTTAACGCTGCAGGCCCAGAAACAAAGCCTGGATAAAGGCTGAAGAGGTGGGAAAGAGGGTTTCCCTGACTGCGCAGCTCCGGAGGAGAGAAGATTTAGGATCTAGGTTCCACACTCCCCTCAGCCTGTGCCCACCCTCCCCTCAGCAAGGCAGCCAGCTTTTCCCTGCACCTCTGGCAGGTAGCCAACCAACCTCAACGGACCGCCTCCCAAGCTACAGGGTCGGTGGCAACCTCAGCAGGTTCACGGGCTAACTGCTGGCTGCCCACCTCTGCCCCTCCTCTTGAGAAGAAATGTGCCCCTATGGTGCAAGGCCTTGCTCAGTGACTCACTGCCGCCTTCCCTCTTCCATTCAGCCAGGCTGCCAGCTGTTTGGAAGTCTGCTTTTCATTTCTTCCAGGCGGACTAGCTCTAAAGAGTAACCACATGCCCCGTTGTCTGTCTTGTCAGTCGATCATCAGAACCACCCACCCCAGCATCGTGGACCATGTGCTGCAGCTGCTGCGCACGATGCACCTGGAAGTCCAGTATGAAGGTAGGGGAGGCAGCTGGGTCTGCTCCAAGCCCCAAAGCGCAGTGACAGCAGCAAGTAGACCGATTCGCTCATAAAAGTTTTCTCTTAGTCACAAAGAGCCTTGTTGTGGAGTGTCCTGGGTCACTTGCCAGATGGAAGATGCTGGTTCAGTATTGATCAGCAAGTTATTCAGAAAATGACAGTCCCTTTCTGGACTTTGAATCAGCCACTTAGTGCTTTAACAGTTGTTAGTATCTGCCTGGGTCCAGAGCTTATGTGGGGCTTCCCTTTAAACAGAAATCACCCTGAGGACTGTCCTTCTCCTAAGAAACTAAATTGGGTAATGGTGGTATTAATAAGTTTTCATTTATTCAGTACCCCTTTGTGCCAGCCACTTTCCATGCAGCATTTCACTTAATTCTCACAATAACTACAAGAGTCCAGAGACCCACACATAATGGGTATTCAAATGTTCCCATGAATGAATGGTGGGGTTGGTATTTTCACACTTTCAAGCTAAAGCACTGAAGCACAGAGAGATAAGTATGCCTCCCAAGGCTACACGGCTAACTAGATTCAAGCCAGATTTGTCTGACTCCAAAGCATATGCTTAAAACATGTAACCCGTGGCATTTCCTTCCCTGTTCCCACAGTGGTTCAGAGAAGGGGTATTCTTTTTTCAACAGGAGGGATCAAAGAAGGGTTCTCTGAGATGGTGTTGCTTAAGCCGAGCCGTGGAGAATGGGAAGGATTTGGGAAGGTAGAAAGGAGCAGAGGAAGGCATTCTGGAAAAGGGAATGGCACACATGAAGGCCTTGACAGAGGGCAGTACAAGATGTGTCTGGGAAATGACAGGTAGATCACTTGGTAGAGGTCTGGTAGAGTGTCAGTCCAGAAGGATCTAGAAAGGTAGGCTAGGACCAGACGGAGGAGCTTTCAACCCCAGATGCAGTATTGGCACTTCCTCCAGCAGGCGGCATGGGGCCCGGAGAAGGAACGGGCACAGAGCGGTTGCGCCACCTCAGGAAGATCTCCTGGGTGGTGGTATGCGAGGTGGACCAGAGCCGCAAGGAGACTTGTGATGGAGGCCATTCGGAAGGCTTTGCAGGGTGTTCAGACAACAAAGTAAGAATAATGTGCAGGTCTAGTCAGGTGCAGAGGCCCCGGAAGAGAGAGTGGACAGGATGAGGAGGTGCCTGGATGTGGGGAATTAGGTGGCATGTGGGAGAGGGAATGGCAGGGCCCAGGAGGCCAGCACAGAGGCCCAGTAAGCAGGAAGGTCTGGACGCCAGTACATATCAGGACTCCTGTGACCGGAATGACAGGCTGAGCCCCAGGGCCAAGAAGTCTGTGAGGGGCAGAAGGAGCGGATCCTGGGGAAGATCAGCAAAGGTCTGGAGGCTCACTTCCAGTTTCGAGTATTTTTCAGAGGCAGTGTTGACCTTGAATGTCAACCACATTTTTCCTTCAGCAGCCCATCAGTTTTCTATTTGTCCCCTGCAGGCATGCATGGGTCTGTGGACCTTGTAGGCTGGGAAGTGATGCTGTGGTGAAATCCATTACCAGCCGGAGCAGAGTCTCTTAGCCCGGAAGGAGTTGCCAGTAAGGGGTGGAGTGGTGGAGGGACCTTGGTTAAAGTCAGACCCAGGGACAGAAATTTATCACTGGCGTTGGAGCAAGGAGGTGACTGGAGAGTGGGATCATGTTAGGAAGCTTAATCAAACAGCTGGAGAACACTGGGCTGGGTGGCCATGAGGCCGCCTGCCCACACCCCGGCTCCATGTGGCAAACGTGGCCACCCTCCTCACCCGTCACCCCCAGCTTAAGCATTTCCTCTCTGAGGCCTTCCTGACCTGCCTGCAGCCCCTGCCCAGATGTCAGCCCTCCCCCCTTTGACAGGATGAAGAGGTGCCTGGGTGTGGGGAATGAGGTGGCATGTGGGAGGGGGAATGGCCCTGTGCCCTCCTTCCCCTCCAGGACCTGCCTTCCCTGAAACAGCCATGCCCAGGATGGTAACACCTCTTGCACAGACTGCACAGTCTCAGGGCGGCTCTCACTTTGCCCCCAGCACAGCCCTTAGCTTATGTTCGACCCTAGTTAGGCTTGTAGAGGAGGGGGTGAGGGAGCACCGCACGTACACACTGTGGTAGTGACTACTTGCCTGTATCCCTTGCTGCTCCCGCCCTCTGAGCAGCTTCAGGATCAGGGACTGGGTCTGATGCGTCTGTTTTCCAGCTCAGTAGGAGTTTGTTGAATACACCTATGAAAAAATGGCTTCGTTTCAGTTTCACTGATGAACCCCTCACAAGTTGCAACTGGCCCAGCTCCTTCCCATCTTAGGGCCAATTGAGACTCCCTCTGCGTTCCTTATGTACCAACTAATCCTGGCGGAGGCAACAGGAACATGAAACTTTCTCGTTGCTTTTTTGGTTTCACATCTGTTCATATGATAACAGTGAAACTCTGCATCTCAGAGGAATTTCAGATATGCCAGACTCTTGACAGGCGCTCATGAGTTGTTTGTTGAATGAATGAGTTCCCGTTTTTCACCAGGCACTTCAAAATAGTCTTGAACTGCGAATATAGAGCACGCATATATGGAGATTGTCCACTGGGGGGAGCTGTTTCACACGGTCGGTGGCGTGGAAATGAAGGGACAGAGCGCAGGATTCAGCTTCCACTGAAACTCCATCAACGGCAGGAGGTCTTAGATGTGGTCCTAACAGTGATGACTGGAAAGGATCAGAGGTGCATTTGTCCGAGTTTTAGGACACCACAGTACAAGACCAAGTCCTGCCAGAATGGCAACAGTCAGGTCAGAGAAGCCTGGACTGAGAGGAACAGGTGATGTAGCTGTGGACTAACCTTAAAAGGGCAAGGTTGGTTTTTCTTTAAAAAACAAATACGATTGAACATCTGTGATGTGCCAAGTACTGGGCTTTGTTTTGTTTTGTTTTGTTTTGTTTTTCTCAAATGTACATCACAGTGATTCAACAGTTTCCCACCCCCTCCCCCTTGGTAACTTAATTCTCAGTATCTATGAGTCTACTGCTGTTTTGTTCCTTCTGTTTTGCTTTGTTTTTATATTCCAAAAATAAGTGAAATCATATGGTGTTTGTCTTTCTCCACCTGACTTACTTCACTGAGCATAATACCCTCTAGCTCCATCCATGTTGTTGCAGTGGCAGAATTTCTTTTCTTCTTAAGGCTAAATAATATTCCATTGTGCAAGTACTGGGGTTTTGACTGTGTTTGTATTGAGGAGAAAAATGGATAGTGTGGTAGGAGGAAGGCAAGGAGTATGAGTGCTCTACCTCCCGCGCTGCGTATGGCTGGGGACCGACAGCCTTCCACAGAAGGCTACAAGAGGAGCAGAATTCTCGGGAGAGTCTGATGGAGACAGGAGGTGGAGAGGCGTGGGCGCCCAGTGGCTCTTTCCTTTGCAGTGGGCGTTGGTGGCAGAGGAGCCAGGTGATGGCCTCACCTCTTTTTTTCATGTAGAACTCCACCTTCCCACCTCCAAATCTACCAGCCTGCCGGACAGGTTCCCCACATTCACGACTCTTTTGCATCACAACAAAGTGTCCCTGCCCTTTTCATAGGCCCCCTCTTCTGCCTCTGCTTATTCTCTGAATCACATTCCCTCAAACACTCCTCTGAGGCAGTGACCCCCTCCCTTTTTCTCAGGACCATCTCCATGGACATGCAAATATGCTGTGTCTCCCATCTTAAAAAAAAAAAGAGCCCCTCCATGGTAATCTATAGATTAAAGAAATTTAAAAGACATGTCCCTCAAAAAAGGTAAAGTCATATTAATTAAGAATGCATACCCCTCCTTGACCCTATCCCTCCAGCTACTCATTTTTCCATTTTCTTCCTACTTGATCTCTCAGCTGTTTTTGAGCCAGTTGGCCACAGGCTACTCTCTCTTCTCTTGGCTTCTGTGACACCACGTGAAGTTTCCCTCGTGCCCACGGCTTTGCCATACTCTCCTTTGCTAGCTTCCCATTTCTCTCCCACTGTCAGGTCAGCCTGCTTCTCATCTTTTTAGCAACACCTTCTCCCTGTGTGATTTTGTCTAGTCCCATGGCTTGACATGCCATATATATGTTATATACTCAAGATACCAAGTTGTCTGTATGTCTGGCACTACTCTCCCCCCTGAAATCTCCATGGATATCTAACTGACATCTGAAATTTATAGCCAAAACAGAATTCTTGGTTTTCTTCCCAAAACCAATTCTTTCTTCAGTTTTCAGTAAAAGGTACCACTACTAACTGATGCTCAAGTAAAAAGTATAGGACTGATACCAGATGATCTGCTTTCTCCCACCTCCCACCCCCTCCCTTCCTCACCAAGTCCTCTACACTCTATCCGCACTTCCCTGTCCCCACTGTGATCCCCCTAGACTAACCCACCGTCCTGTCTCTTAGCTGATCTTTCTGCTTCCATTCTGGCCCTATGTAAATATTCTCCCACTGCAGACAGCATCATCATTTTTTTTTTTGAGGGCTCTAGATACTCTTTATTATTTAGGTGTACATTTTTGTCATGTTTAAAATTACAAGATTCCAAAGGACTGGAGTGGAATGAAGAGTGCTGACTGCAAAGGCCAGTTCTGCCCCTCCAGTGAGTAACTCTCAGGTTCCTCCCCGTGATGAGGGGTCATAGCACCTCTCATCCTGTGTGGCAGGGATTTGAAGCAGCATCATCATTTTTAAAATATAAACCAGACAATGTCACTCCTCAGCTTCTCATTGCACCTAGACTGCCATGGCCTGCAAAATTTCTGGAAGGCTCTCCTCCCAGACCTTGGGTTGATGAACAACTTCTCAAACCTCAAGTGCCAGCTCAGATGTCACTTCAGAGAGAGGCCGTGCAACCACTCTCTCTCTAAAGCTTCCCCATTTACTCCCACCACCCGCCTAGGTCTCTCTCCATCATATCACATCATAGCACTTATCTCCTTCAGAAATTGCCTTCTTTATTTACTTATTTATTATCTGTCCTCTGTTAGGAA